ATCTTAGTGCCAGCATCGGTTTGTGGTGGTAAGTAGACAGCTACGAAAAATATAGATGAAAACTCTCTTGGTAAATAGTGTGGTCTACAGCTTATCATGAGATACTCTACCTCAGGCAAGCAAAACCTCAAGACTTCCTTAGTATTAGATTTTATGCACCAGCTGTTGCTTACAAATATACACAGACCGCCACACCTTGTCTTAATAATAATATGCCATTTAGCAGACGCTTTTATCCAAAGCGACTTACAGTCATGCGTGCATACATATTTTTTTTGTGTATGGGTGGTCCCGGGGATCGAACCCACTACCTTGGCGTTACAAGCGCCGTGCTCTACCAGCTGAGCTACAGAGGACCATGGAGTCAGCCGTTCTATCCTGCCGATGCAGCGTATGTCCCGCCAGCTGTATATTATCCATGTCGTCGTTCAGCCACGACTCGGTGAAAGATAAGATATTACAGTTTTTAATGTCCCATTGGTAGGATAACCTTAATCTTAGGTTGTCCAATTTATTTTCAAATGATTGAACATTGGCTAATTGGATTGATGGAAGAGGCAGTTTACTCGCTCGCCATCGGATCCTTACAAGGCACCCCGACCTACGTCCACGATATCTCTGTCTCTTTCTCATGCGAATGACATGGATTTGGGCCTTGTCGGGTGTCTGTAGAATATCCTTCGCGTCCAACTCGTTGAAGTTTAATATCTTCGTCCAATACGAGGTCAGTAATCGCTGTCCTGATATCCAGAAGCTCTTTTTGGTCATAAGAGATGGTGGCAGAAATATTATGTACAGAATAAATTACAAATAACACGAAAAAACACACATAATAGTACAATTGGTTAGAGGAATGTAAAACGGCAGCCATCTTCTCTGGCGCCATCTCTAGTTCTGGTTAGACAGCTGAAGTTGTACTATAAACACAACATTAAACAAAATCATATGGATTAATATCAGCCTAATCGAGTTGTAGATTATAACACACATTGTTTGAACTTGTAACAAGGCTGCATGGGATTAATACTAATGCGACTCAACGCATCCAATGGCAATGTTTGCTATTGTGATGAGTGTAATAGAAGGAGTCAGGTGCAGGAGGGTAAATCACCGAATACAGAGTTTATTCTGTCGTACACAATTGCGCTGGATAGCGACACATGAAAACAGGCACAGGGGAAACTATCTACCCTGGCAATACATGGTACGGGATACTCCAACAATATACAGGCACAGGGGAAATATCTACCCCGGCAATACAAAGTGCGAGTAGCTCCACCGAGCTACACTACTCTCACAAATAACAATCACCCACAAGGACAAGGGGGCAGAGGGAACACTTATACACAGACTAATGAGGGGATAAGAACCAGGTGTGTGTAATTGACAAGACAAATGGAATGATGATATATGGAGCGGCAGTGGCTAGTAAGCCGGTGACGACGAACGCCGAAGCCTGCCCGAACAAGGAGGGGAGGCAGCCTCGGCGGAAGTCGTGACAGCTATAGGTATAACGCCGGGAGCCGCTTGCTGATTTAACGAGGGATTTTACTGTTTGTCCCTCTTGAGACACCGTAGCAACAACATAGCCAGTATACACTTCCTTAAAATAGTCTAGAAGGCGGAGACAGTACAGGTGCATCAAAGCTAGGACCGAGAGACGGATAAACTGCTTCTATCTCCAGGCCATCACTGGTAAACAGTCACCACTAGCCGGCCTCCGCCCAGTACCACCTGTTACTCTACCCTGCACCGTAGAGACTGCTTCCCTATGTACATGGAATCATTGAACACTGGTCACTTTAATCATGTTTACAAACTGTTTTACCCACTTTATATGTATATACTGTATTCTAGTCATGGCTCATCCTATATAACTACTGATATACACACCTTTTCTATTCACATACTGTCCATACTGTCTATACACACACCATTCACATACAGTTGAAGTCGGAAGTTTACATACACATAGGTTGGAGTAATTAAAACTCGTTTTTCAACCACTCCACAAATTGCTTGTTTACAAACTATAGTTTTGGCAAGTTGGTTAGGACATCTACTTTGTGCATGACACAAGTAATTTTTCCAACAATTGTTTACAGACAGATTATTTCACTTATAATTCACTGTATCACAATTCCAGTGGGTCAGAAGTTTACATACACTAAGTTGACTGTGCCTTTAAACAGCTTGGAAAATTCCAGAAAAAGATGTCATGGCTTTAGAAGCTTCTGAAAAAATTGTAGAACTCCACAAGTCTGGTTCATCCTTGGGAGCAATTTCCAAACGCCTGAAGGTACCACGTTCATCTGTACAAGCAATAGTACGCAAGTATAAACACCATGGGACCACGCAGCCTTCATACCGCTCAGGAAGGAGACGCGTTCTGTCTCCTAGAGATGAACGTACTTTGGTGCGAAAAGTGCAAATCAATCCCAGAACAACAGCGAAGGACCTTGTGAAGATGCTGGAGGAAACAGGTACAAAAGTATCTATATCCACAGTAAAACAAGTCCTATATCGACATAACCTGAAAGGCCGCTTAGCAAGGAAGAAGCCACTGCTACAAAATTGCCATAAAAAAGCCAGAATACGGTTTGCAACTGCACATGGGGACAAAGATCGTACTTTTTGGAGAAATGTCTTCTGTTCTGATTAAACAAAAATATAACTGTTTGGCCATTATGACCATCGTTATGTTTGGAGGAAAAAGGGAGTTACTTGCAAGCCGAAGAACACCATCCCAACCGTGAAGCACGGGGGTGGCAGCATCATGCTGTGGTGGTGCTTTGCTGCAGGAGGGACTGGTGCACTTCACAAAATAGATGGCATCATGAGGAAGGAAAATGATGTGGATATATTGAAGCAACATCTCAAGACATCAGTCAGGAAGTTAAAGCTTGGTCGCAAATGGGTCTTCCAAATGGACAATGACCCCAAGCATACTTCCAAAGTTGTGGCAAAATGGCTTAAGGACAACAAAGTCAAGGTATTGGAGTGGCCATCTCAAAGCCCTTACCTCAATCCTATAGTAGATTTGTGGGCAGATCTGAAAAAGCGTGTGTGAGCAAGCAGGCCTACAAACCTGATTCAGTTACACCAGCTCTGTCAGGAGGAATGGGCCAAAATTCACCCAACTTATTGTGGGAAGCTTGTGGAAGGATACCCAAAACGTTTGACCCAAGTTAAACAATTTAAAGGCAATGCTACCAAATACTAATTGAGTGTATTTAAACTTCTGACCCACTGGAAATGTGATGAAAGAAATAAAAGCTGAAATAAATAATTCTCTCTACTATTTTTCTGACATTTCACATTCTTAAAATAAAGTGTTGATCCTAACTGACCTAAGACAGGGAATTTTAACTAGTATTAAATGTCAGGAATTGTGAAAAACTGAGTTTAAATGTATTTGGCTAAGGTGTATGTAAACTTCCGACTTCATGTACATATATATTATTTATATTCTGGACTCAGGTTCGGAAGCTAATTTCCTGCAATTATATCAATTTTGCTATTGGGTTTTGCACTGTGTATTTATATACTGTATTCTAGACATAGCTCATTCTAATATTTCTACTACTGTACATTGCATTTTAGTTACACTGTTTATACACACCGCATATTTATTTATTTATTGGATCCTTGACATAGCTCACTCTGATATATCTACTACTGTACATATCATTCCTAGGATATCTTGTGTAAATTCATCCGGAGTAGATATGTATAGATTGCATTTGGATGACCTTGACAGTGCTATTTGGTTGTTCATTAGATTCGTTCCAACATCTCTTGATGTCTTGTGTTTATTTTATTTTATTTTTATTGATTGTTTGGGTACCTGTTTGACATTTTACTGCATTGTCAGGAGCTAGTAACATAAGCATTTCGCCGCACCCCGTTATATCTGCTAAATTGTGCACGCGACCAATAAACGTTGATTTGATTAGATTTCACATGGAATTCCGTTCCTTGTTGTGCTTGACTACAGAAAGCAATATCAAATTGATGTGGATGTGTTTGCTGCTTATGTTGTAGACTGCTGTCTACCTGATCTTGCGTGATTTATGTTATTTTGTTTACTGTCTGACTATTCTAAAGAAGGTGTAGCCTGGGCCTAATTATTTATCCATGGTTCTGACTTGTCTGCTCATTGCACCTTGCCATGTATCAATCTGTGTGCTCGATAATCCGGTTACAGGTATAGCCTACTTAATGATGATTGATGACCATTCAAACATTAATTCATTTATGATACCAGCTACTTTTGAAGTTATTAGCCCTAACTGTAAAAATCCAAATAATATGGGGGGCCCCTCGAAGGTCTCCAATGCTATCCAAGTTTCAGTGTAGGCTACTTGAGTAGTGATTAGAACAATGTTTGAACCAGCAATCTTTCTCATTTTAGGGCAATCTGTGCCAAAAAGTTTCAGACCTCACACTTCCATCAAAGGCATGAGCATGAGAGACTGCTGGAGGATTATCCCACCATTGCAACCAGTGTAATAATTGAAGGGGAAGTGCTCGAACTGCACCAACTTGCGACGCTGTTGTGACAGGGAAAGCTCACTACCACCCAAGTCCAGAACTCTTGGAAGAGGATGCACTACACTGACATACTGAGGCTGCTACACTTAGGCCTATTGCTTGTAATACTGAACTGATGCAACACATTTACAGCAAGAAAAGAGTGGAAATGAGGCAGAAAAACAGACAATGAATAACCCCTCATCAAACCGAATCTGAAAGTCCTGTCATTATTGTAAGTTTGGGGCAATTATGTTGCATGAGAGATGGAATCCAAATCTTTCGCCGGACATACAATTGTAGGTCACTCACAGTCCGCAAATGTGTGGCCATTTCTCACAAATCCCAATAGTCAATACAGTACATTTGGGAGCCTAAAGGTAATGCTGCCATTGCAGACTTTGGCACGTCTGAGGTTGACATGGTCTGATGAGTTTGTGCACAACATGTTGGAAGGCAGTTCCTCTGTGAGACTCAGTTGGACCAACAAACATAGCCTCCAGAGAAACATCAAGCAGAGTCTGACAAGGGAGTCGGATCGAAAGCTTATTTTTCATCATCTCACAGAATAGAGCACTGCATCCGGCCATGAAAGGCACAACGAGAATCATGTTATGCTTGTCAATCATACTGAATGGTAAGTACATGTTACAATAACAATGGCTAAAGATGATGTGAAACATTTGATATAACCTCGTTGAGTGTTTGTTGGTTGTGTTCCTCAATGTAGTTAAATGCTTTACTGTCAGATACAATTGTACTAGTGCAATCATTCAGTAATCGTCACCATGTTGCGCTGGCAGTTCAGTAGGCATATCAAGACATTATGAAATGTAATGCATTTTTGAATCAGAATTGACTTGAGGAACTAGTGATTAGGGGTTGTGTCTGGACCGGGCCACTGTCTGTAGCCCTATATGATTTGACTCCTGTGACATTCTGTTGTGACTTCTACAGGTCTACGTTTGGGAGAGTCCCTGGGTCTATCACTGAAGAGCATATCAGTGAAAGTAGGGGAGGATGCCACTCTGGACTGCCCTCTGTCCACTAACTGTAGCATGGCAACTGTGAGCTGGTACAAGCAGAATCAAGGAGAGAGGCCTGAACTGGTACTCAGCTACCCCCTGACCAACACCTCCCTTGTGCTCTATGGCCATGGCTTCCATCCCAACAAGATCACTGTCCAGACCAATGATAGCAGGCCACTTCACCAGCATCAGTTACTGATCCATGGATCTAAAGAGAATGACATGGCTGTTTATTACTGTGGACTTACAGAAGGATTTGAAACAACAACTGATGCGTAGAGATGGATATAAGGTGTACTATGTAATAACACTGTACTGTATCTATAGGCTACTCTGTATAGGTCTTCCAAAGCAACTCCTAATAAACTCAAATTGATGTTGTTTTGTTGTTGTCATGTTCTAAGAGTAATATATCTCCTGAGTGTCTTTTATGGCGTTTCATTGAATAGTTATATTGGCTAACATTATAATGTAGGCAGAAAAGGTAAAGGGAGAAGGGCAGAAACTTATCATGTAAGATAATTCACACTGTCAGAATCACCCCATACTCCAGAGTGGGCAGAACTGGAGAAGTTGTGCATCTGTTTCAGACACAACCACTTGTGCCAACCGTTCTTTCCTGTTTTTCTATCCTCCTACAAACTGAATAACTGATCTACTTGTTTTTAGACTGATATAGAGGGGGGCAACATGTGCCTTGGGAAAACACTCATGTTCCACCCAGATAGTTTTTCACAACATTTCCTCTCTGCACCAGTGTCCTTCCTCTATAATAACTTAGTTCTGAGAGTCTAGCTATTAATGTTACCTTTAGAGGACATGGCAATAGTAATCTATCATTTATTGATATTCTCCTAATTAGTGATGAACTGACAGTTCTTAGAAGGATTGGACTCAATTCTCAAGTGTTGTATAAGAAAATGAGGTGAAGAACTGTCCTTTCGTTGCTGCAGTAGAAGTGTGAAAAGACTGGTCTCATAGACTAGACATAACATAGTAAACATATAACGCAAATGTCTAGCAACCCAAAGATTGCGTGTTCGAATCTCATCACACAACTTTAGCAATTTTGCAACTACTTATTACTTTTTAGCTACTTTGCAACTACTTAGCATATTAGCTAACCCTTCCCCTAACCCTAACTCTAACCTTAACCCTTTTAGCTAACCCTTCCCCTAACCCTAACCTGAATCCTAACCTTAACCCTTTTAGCTAACCCTTCCCCTAACCCTAACCTTAACCCTTTAACCCTTTAACCCTTTAACCTAACTCCTAACCTTAAGCCCCAGCAAAATGCATCATATCGGGATGATTTCTGTATTTTGAAAGTTACATATCTTGAAAACTTGATTGCTGACAAGCAAAACATTTTGGGACTATGTCAACAATGGACTAATTAAACAAATACCAAAATAGCGTTTTTGGGTGGAGTTTCCCTTTAATAAGTGCTGACTGGCATCAACACATTACATAAATTGATTAATTAACTGTATAGAAAGCTCTGGGGACAGGTCGTCTACATACTGGACAGCCAATAAATTGGCAGACGCAAACAGATTATCATCAACAGTTCTTAAGGGGTTGAACAAAAAATGCTGTTTGCGATTTTGTTCATACTGGTAAACCGGCATTTGAGTTGTGCGGTTGCAATCTCAACAGCCCCTTATCTCTGGTATATCTTGGCATGCATCATTCAAGACGAAGTTTAAATTGTGTGCTGCTCAATGGACATATTATGCACAATGTCTTAGGAAAGACTGCCTGGGTTGGCAATAGTCAGTATAGAAAACAATCGGGCCCACAACCTGGACCTACAGGACATGGCGAAAACATTTGCACACAAAAAAGGAGGACTTCAGGACACCAGGGGAGTCTCTCAAGTTGGATTTAATTTAATTTAATTTACCTTGAATATTGCCATTTGTGTAGTCTATTAGCCAGAGTTCAATAATAAATAGTGGCTGAATTTGTCCTCAAGCCGACTACTTTTTTCCTCATTGTTAGGCTATTTGTGTAATTTTTATTTGTAAAAGTTTATAAACCCTCCCGAGTGGCGCGGTGGTCTAAGACACTGCATCACAGTGCATGAGGCGTCACTCCAGACCCTGGTTTGATCCCAGGCTGTGTCACAACCAGCCGTGACCGAGAGTTCCATAGGGCGGCGCACAATTGGGTTAAGGGAGGGTTTGGCCGGGGGGGGGGGGGGGCTTTACTTGGCTCATTGCACTCTAGTGACTCCTTGTGGCGGGCTGGGCGCCTGCAGACTGACATTGGTCGTCAGTTGAACGGTGTGGCTTCCGGGTTAAGCGGGTGGGTGTTAAGAAGCGCGGTTTGGCGGGTCATGTTTCGGAGGATGCATGACTTGACCTTCGCCTCTCCCAAGCACATTGGGGAGTTGCAGCGATGAGACAAGATCGCAATTGGATATCATGAAATTGGGGAGGAAAAGGGGGTAAAAAAAAAAAAAAAAACTTTATAAATACGGTATATAGCTATAAATAGTACACTGCATAATAAAACAGTCCCTATTAAGCTATTTTTTTGAGGGTGGACTGACTGTATTATTTGGCATTAATAGACTGGTTTTACACATTACTTTCTATCCAAGCTGGGAGAGAGCGCGAGGACGGCTCATGTCATGCAGGTTCAGGTAGCCTATACAGGACAGCTGTATATTCTAAAAATATATATTGGTAGCTGATTAGTATGCTGTTGCATCAAACATTTAATTTACTGAACAAGTAGGCTAATTACATTATTGCCACCAGCCACCAGTCTAAAAATGGCAGCATTGCCACACTGTGTATAGCTTCGTCAAACGTTAGGCTTAACCAGAGAAAATGACAACCAAATAGGCCTAACAATAACCGTTTATCCATTAGCTAAAGCAAAGCTAAGCCCTGGCACCACAGAAAGCCTATCATCAATTAACTCGATAGATATGCAGCTGTATAGACATTTCACAATTACAGCGGTCAGTAGTCTATACTTTTAAAAACAAATTGGGGGGCTAACCCCTAGCCAGCTAGCTAATGTTAGCCACAACAAATTGGAAGTTGTAACATATCATATGTTTTGCAAATTCATAAGATATTGTACTAATTGCAATTGGTAACATATTGAACGAATTACAATTCGTAACATATCATACAAATTGTAATTCGAAACATATGATACGAAATGGATGATGGATTAATACATTCCAATACGAAACGTAACATATCATACTAAATGGAGTGTCTCGGTTTTACATACAGAATCATACGAAATGCTCTGAGACCACGTTGCTGTGAGAGGAGAGAGCTGCATGATACTGGAGGACAAGACACCAAGATCCTCAAGGGACTCAGGCAGTTGGCTTTTCTCCTCTCCAGAGCACCAACTGAAACAAACTGCTCAGACAGAATGAACAGAACAGGACTATGTTTCTCTTTACTACTACTGGGGTAACTTTCAGCTCAACTTTCAATGCAGATTGCACTAGGAATTAATTATATCTGCAATATTGCAGTGTTCTGATGATAATGATAGTCATATTTTTCCTCAGGTATGTGCTTGGGGGGAAGCCCTCTCTAAAGGATGTGGTGTTTAGTAGGGGCATCCAGCTCTTTGTTGAAGGTAAGCTGGAATTTAGTACCTTTTGCTGCAATATGTATTTGAAGGCTAATTGTTATTGACACGTTCTCTCACAAAGGAGCTCACAATTGTCTGTATTTCAATAACATTTGCTCAAGAGAGTTCTAATATTTCTCCAAGTGTTTCGTTCGAACTCCTTTCACCCCAAAGTCTTCATGCATGTTGACCTTCTTTGTTATTGACACATTCTCCCACAAAGGAGCTCACAATTGTCTGTATTTCAATAACATTTGCTCAAGAGAGTTCTAATATTTCTCCAAGTGTTTTGTTTGAACACCTTTCACCCTAAAGTCTTCATGCATGTTGACGTTCTTTCTCTTGTCAGGTTTGAACCCTTCTGATCCATCTGTACTCATCCTCTCCTCCTTCGGGAGCGACCCTGGTGCCTCACACACACCTATGCTGGTGTGTGTACTCAGTGGTTTACACACACACCTGGTGGACATCATTTGGTGGATCAACAACACAGTGGTTACCCCAGAGAACAATGTTGTTTGGAGTTCCAGGGGAAGCGATGGCACGTACACAGCTACCGGACTGTGGACTGTGTCTGGAAATGACTGGAAGCCACAGAATGACTACTGGTGTGGAACCAGACATGAAGGAAAGATTTATATAAATGGTACACGGCCCTCACTTTGCAGGGATTTTACTTAATTACAAATGTTTGTTCATTTATCAAAAATGATCTGTACTTGACAGCCTCCTTTGCATTTAATGTACAATCTTTAAACTTATTAAAATATGTTTTTTGAGTATTTTAGTGAAAGGTTCTGTTCCTGGCTGCCATTACCATATGTTGACACAAGAGGGCGCGCCCAGCCTACAATTGGATGAGCTGTAGTTGTGTTGCGTGACGGTAAAGTTCTTAGGCAGGGCATCTCTTTTACACACTCACTGATTTCAACTGAGACAATGTTTCTCTTGTTCCTAAAAGTATCTCTCAAGCTGTTATATAAATGGTTTCAAAAACGGCACTTCTTAATCAAGCACATGCTAAATTGTTCAAATACTCTTTAGTTGATATTCCAATTATTGTGTTTCCTCCTCTCAATAATAAAAAATATATAATTTATAAGGTTGTGATATCATCATCTATAAAATACAAAAAGTCAGCATTGTACTTTCAAATACAAACTGACATCCACTTCTTTATTTTACCCTTTGTCCGGCTTGTCTGATTCCTATGAAGAACTAACCATAACACCCCAATTGCCAGTATCAGCCAATGACCTTGCTGTTGGAGCTCAGCTAACTGCTTGCTGTGTTAGTAAAGTCAGCAGATTTGGGCTACTTGTTGAAGAACCCTGGAGATATGAGGAAGTGCTGAGTGGGAGATAGGATGGGGAAACGTGTACGTCGTGTGTGGTGTCTGTCCGTGGCCTGTGTCCAATTTGTAAGGCAACAAAGACAACTTCACAGTACTGTATGTTCCCAAACAGGAAGTGACAGGGATGTTGGATGGGCTGGATCGGTCGGTTTACTTTAGGGAATTTTTTGGGGCAGTACCCCCTCCAATTCATCTTACTGTCAAGTATAGCCTGCTGGTTTCACAATAACTTTCATGTGACCAGTGATTAGGGTGCTAACGTGACCAGTGAGTTGGGTGCCATATCTGACACTAAGTTAGTAGATTCTAATGACAAATCGATGACACGCATTCCAAGATATAGCGTAACGAGCATGCAGAGACAAGTAATTGAGTGACCTACTGGTGAAGCATGTTGTTGCCCCTATACACTGATCTGTGGTCAACTTTGCCTTTTACCTCCTAATGGTCATGGTCAGGATAGGAGTGGGGTGATCTGATCCTAGATCTGCACGTAGTCGTGGGGCCAACCTGCACGTCTACTACAGACACCAGGGAACAAACCGTGCTTGCCACATCAGTGTCACTGCATCTGGGTTGTTCTAGGCAAGCACATGTAGTTCATCTGGTTTGTCTGACTCAGCAAGAAGTACCTTTCTGCTCAGCCCTCCCTGATTGGCTGTGGTGATGGGAGATATGTACTGCATAGCTATGGGAGTTGTAGATGGAGAGGGTGAGAGGGAGGGAGAGGGGGTAGGGGAGATGGGGTTATAGACAGCTAAACAGGGAGCTATGTCAACTATTTAGCCGTGTGACACTGCAGTCTTTTACGACTGGCTTCTCACCCTACTCACACACGCGCGTTGGCACGCACGCACGCACACACACTCACACTTAGCAGTCACACACACATACTGAGAAGTCACACACAAAACACGCGCACAGACACGTTACGCTCTCTCCCTATCCCAAGGCTTGCCAGCCCTATTGGAGGCAGTGGCATTTTCACTACGGAGGGAGAGGGTTTGCCAGTGGCCTCGTTAACCCAAAGTGCTGAGAGGATGGAAAGGAGACTGGGGGATCTGGATGATGCCAGTCGGAGTGAAAATAGAAACAAAGGCCTTTCTGGCTTCATTTAAAATGTTACAGAGATAGTTGGGTGTTTTGACAAGATGTAGACCTTTGTCTGCAGTTCATTACATGAATCTGCTGAGATGTCCAGCAAAACAAACAAACAAAATGTTTCACTTTTCTGAGGAAAGTTCCAGACAAAGTAGCTATGCTAAATAGCCCCCAAACCCCTGGCAAACTTACAACCCCCACTGAAGATAAGGATGCATTCCTTTTCATACATTAGATTATACAGTACAATCTCAGGCAATTGTATATGAATAGTGAGTAGAATTAATGAGTAGTGAGACATGCTGCAACTAAATGTGTAATATGCGACTGCTGACGTTAAATGTGGTTATTATTAGTGCTCCTCAATAACAACAGTTGTCTGACTCCACTGGCCTGGCTGCCTGCAGGCCTGCTCTACCGGTTGGGCCCTTGGTGTTCGACAGCTGAACCCTGTCTGCCTGTGAAGCTGCAAGCTGCAGCCATGTTGTTCAGCTGCAGAAGTAGTCCTCCCAGAGTAGAGGAATGTAGTAAACAGATACCAGTCATGTTTTAAGCCTTAAAGTCAGTATGATTGGAACTGGTTTGTATTAAGAAGTGTGTCAGCAAAGGAGAGAGAGGAGATGTTAGTTAGCTCTGCATAAACCCCATTTTGAAGCTAGTTTATGCTCTATAACTTCTTGGCCTCAATTCAACAAATCCCACTTATGAAAGAGCCTGAACAGGGATAAACTCCTTTGACCAGCTCAGAGGAATTGGGGTGCACTATTTTAGTATTTTGCAAGGGCGGTGTCTTGATATAGTACAATGCACCACCTACAGCATCACCCACTTCCTACCCCCACTACCACCCACCCCCAACTATTTCAACAGCACACGTATAGGAGGAGGCTCCCTCTCATGCTGTACATGTGAGTCAGCTATTGGTCAAAGGGATTCTTTGTACAGAAACATGCAATAATTCAATTTATAATGCAAACCGGGGGAACGTGACTGCATTGTAACTAAGCTGAGGCTACGTCATTGGTACAGTTGAACAACACGCTCTCTCCTCCTCAGCTGTCGTCACACTCTGGGTTGTTGTACTGTCTCCTCTCTATCAGATACAGAGACATGCCCTGACTTGCTTCAGATCACTGAAACTGGTTTGGTGGTTTCTTGTTTTTGCTAAGGCATAGAAATCAAATAATCACTGACAACATCTGAAGCATTGAATGTGCCTGTCCTTTAACACTTTTGAACTCACTTTTTAAATATATTATTTGTTAGAATTATTTTGGGGCATGTTGTGGCCTTTAAAGGGGCAATCTGCAGTTATTACATACATTTTTGGATTTATAAATTAATTATATGTACCCATTGATTCTTGAAGAATATAAATGCCTCATGAGATTAGTTCAACTGTCGTACCCCATCAGAACCCAAAATATAAGCTTGTTTGTAAACAAAGTAAATGGAAGCAAACACTGTATAGCCTCAAAACATGGTTAAAACTATAATTTTGATATCATGGATAGACAGTCATTGCATCCATAGCTATGTCTATGAATTTGAGAGTGGTTATTTCATCCAGTCCCATCTCTCAGCTTTTTACCAAAACAGTGGCGGGGAAAATGCTTTGTTACTGTTTCAATTGTAGATTGCCCCTTTAAAGGATTATGATCAATACTCTAGTAAACATGGGTATAACATGGTCAATTTCACAGAAATAGTAACAGGTATCATCACTATACTACAATCTGAAAACTGAATCTAGATAGGTTTGCCCAAGTATCAATAATCCCAAAATTCACAAAATACCGAAAATAAATGTGATTTAAACAGGATAATTATGAGATGATTCTAAGACATTTTAGGGGTGTGAACGTGTTTATGATGTGTTTATGAAGTCATATAATGCATTATAATTGTATCATAAAGCATTATAGCGTTTGAATATAGTCTGAGTGGAAGATTTATGGTTTCAGTTCAGGCCTAGCGCACATCCGACACAACTAAAGTGTCAGATGATAACCACGTGAAGTGTCGACGCTTACATATTCTTAATTGGAAACCAAGTGTGGTATCATGTGAATCATACAGGTCATCGGAGCTACTGTGGAATTTGTTTAATCACTACAAGGCCCTATCTATAAGTCCTGCAAACACCTTTTTGATTTAAGTCTGCATTCTGAGAATCGTGTACACCAAACAACGCATGAAACATGGAGAGGGGGCGATATACATTTTGGCATTCTAGGAGAGTTCTACTCTAGGAGAGCAAATTCTTTTCATTGGTCATCTCATGTTAATTTCACAACTGGACAAAGTCATTTCTTTGTTTTGGACATTACAGTTTGAAACAAAATTAACTGAAACTGTTATGTTCTGATCTAGACACAACCAGACATACTGGTGTTTTGTTTAATAAGAAATACTAGTCAAACTGGCTACAATTGCTCTAAAGTAGTTTCATAATTGTTCTTTTAAAAATTCTGAGGCGTTGGTCTGAACAGCCCTTAATCCCTCCCAGACTAGGGAGGATGTGCAGTTTTCATATTAGACAATGTTGACAACATCTCATTCCTGTCATCTCTGCAAACAACCCCAGAAGCCCTGTGCGTGTGAAGCCATGCCGCCTCCTCTGCTAATATGGATTCCGCACGCCACCCTACTGCTGCTGTTGACGACCGACAGAGAGTAGTCTAGTGAGCTGTAAGCCTTGCTCTCTCTCTCTCTCTCTCTCTCTCTCTCTCTCTCTTTTCATGTGAGCCTCCTTTGCATCTCTCTACTTCTCTTTATCTTTCTCTGTCAGTATCTCTCTCTCTCTCCCTCCCTCATTCTCTATCTTTCCCTCCATCCCTCTTTCTCAAGACAGAAAGGTGACTAATGCTGGCGGCAGGCCAGGTCTGTATTTACATGTCTGTGAAGGGTAAGGGGGAAACAGGAACCGGTCTGAACCAGCGCGCGCCGACTCTCAGGGCTATTCCAGTTCCCCCCGCTCCTCCCTCTCTCTCTCTCTCTCTCTCTCTCTCTTCCCTCTCTGACTCAGGCGAGGACTGGCTGAACTTTTCCTCAAGCACCCAGTCACATTCTGTCTCCTGGAAAAGGACCCGGGTACACATTCCTGGAAAGTGAAAGAGGATCTATCCTCCATCTTCTCCCACTGCAGAACAACAATGTTGATGGAGTGATGCGTGGGGATCAGGGCGCCACAGGGTGTTTACGCTACAGCTACCTAAGGCAGTCA